GTTCGGAGTGAAGAATCCACCGGAAAAAGGTTACAATCGCGATGAACAGGTTCTGTACGGTGGTTCTGTACGTTGATTCTGTGAACGTTTGTTTCTGGTTGTGTAATAGACAAGAAAAAGAAAGAGGAACAGTGAAGCAATGGTCTTCTCGGTCCAAGAGGTCCCCGGAAAAAAAATTTCCGGTGGCGGCTGATGGCAGCGAGAGACGTGAAAAAGAATAGAAAGGTTTCGTAGGCGCGGAAGCAGAGCCCTCTGGATCGAGAGCTCTGATACCAACTTGAAAAAGGGTATTCTGATATATTTTAGAATTGTGAAATAATATGATACAAAGAGGTCTCTATTTATAGAGACCAAAAACCCTAATTCTTGACCTAATGGGCTTGGCCCAATACAACAAATACTAATAATAATAAAAGACCTAATATTTACAACATATATTGAATAATCACATAGTGTATTACAATGTACAAGAGCTCTCTATTTAAAGAGACTAAAAGACCTAATAGGTTGAGCTCATACGATGTGGGACTATATATATACTGAACTATTTTTACAACTATTCTAACACGGGTTAACACGACATGACACGAATAACACGCAAAATAGGGGTCAAAACGGTAATTGACAAAAAAAAATTAAAAAAGATGGTTCAAAATTAAAAAATAATAATAGAAAAAATAAAAATAAAATAATTAAAAAAAATATGGGTCGACACGAACACGAATACCTCAACACGAACACGACACGAATTTTTTACGTGTCATTTTTCCTAACACGAACACGACACAAATTTTTTTACGAGTCAACCCGAACACGAATTTTCGTGTCGTGTCACGGGTCGACCCACGTGTCATAACTTATATTGACACCCCTAGTTGTAGTACTTTCTCTCCTCCTTTCTCTCTTACCCTCTGATTATGATATATAAATTTGAAATTGTTAGGTGAAGGCCATATTAATGGTTATATATTCTATTTCTCGAATAGAAATAGTTGTGCCAATGCTTTATAACTTTTTATACTAGTGTTTTTTTGAAAAGAATATTTTATTCTCTTCTTGTATTGCGTGTCAATTCCCTTTCCTTTTGTTTGAATTATGAAATCCACTGAGACTGTAAAATATAACCTCCTAAAAATAGGATATTGAGTTTATAGGACAAATAAAAAATATACACCCAAGAAGGAGGATCTTCTTTCAGTAGTTGTGCAGAAAAAATATGCATGAGGCAGCCAAATGGGGTTGGCTTACCTCCGCTTATGGCAACGACATGACTTGGGTTCTAATATAGGAATTCCCTGTAGGTACGTGATTTGTAATTCCACTATAAATCTTCACTGTGGTTGGTTATTTGCCTGTCCTTGGAATGGGGAGAGCCTCTCCTCACCCTAAACTTCTATTCACCAAAGAAAAAAAATGTATCAGGCAGACTTGGATCTGATATCACCAGGACCAAGTTAAACCCAAATGAACTTGCCTAAAAAATATCGTATCTTTCTACTCTCTTTCCTAATCACTAAAATATTGTATCTTAGCATGTAGGATCATTGCTAAAAGCCAATCGTCATGCATATACATCTTAGTTATCTGATTCATGGCTGTCAAATCATGAATTGGAATTTGGAAGTCCAATTGTCTGAATTGTGAATTGAAAATTTTCATCTTCTTGGTAAGAATACATGATTTGATTGTTCAAAGTGAAAAATATCAACAATAAAGCCAAATAAATCATCGTTTACCTGAAATTTGTAAGTCTAAACTCAAAAGTAATTTGAGATCAAGTCATATAGTCAGTCATGTTACGATCGGAATTGCTAATGAGGGACAACCAGCAACTTGGAAAGTTTATTCCAGAAGGAATAAACCCAAAGCAGCAGGTCAGTTGAGGGCATTAGTTAAGAGTGCTGGGAAGTTAGCTACTGATTTTAAGTCAGGGCATTAGAGAAGTAGGAGGGAGATAACAGATAGTTTATATATGGTTCATAATTGCTATCGATAGTCACTTTTGGAGATTTGTTTGTTAACTGAAATATTCTCATTCTGAAGAGATTATTCCCTTTTGAAGAGCTTTGCTCTTGTATTCATAAGTATCAGCAACAACGAGTTCCATTCTTTCTCTCTTCTCATCTTTTTCTCTCAATCTTTCTGACTTTAATACTGTAAGACTCTCACCCTTAATCCAGAGTTGTAACACATCCTCCCAGAGTTATTGTTCAAAAAAGAAAAAAATATCAACCTAGAAAAAGTGAAATACAAAAAAAAAAATGAAATATAAGAGAGGTGGGCTTAAAAGGGTGTCCAACGTATTTGTAGTTTGACAAACTGCCCCAAATGCTTATAAGTCACAGGGATGCTAATGAAACAAGTATATTCCTTAACAGAAAACGGTTAAAAGGCATTGTGCTTTAGCCAGATTGTATATGCAAGCTGTATTTATAGAATATATGGAACCATACTACGATTTGATGCTAGCGAACACCTTTTTTTGAAAAAGGGAGTCACATCTAATCACATATCATAGTGGCCAAAATCGTAGTCAGATTGGTTTCTTTATGGCTAGAAGAGAAGATAGAATTTCTTGTGTCGACTGTAAGGTCTACCCTGGAGAGTGTGTCGCTACGCAACATAAGCTGGTAGTCCTAGAAGTTTGGTTCAACAAAGTACTTACAATGAAGAAGAGGGCTCAGAACCTAAGTATAAGATGGTGGAAGCTTAAGAAGGGAAAAGAGAGAGAGTTCAATGAAAGAATGTTGCACGAAGGACCTTGGGAGTTTGATGGAGGAGCAAATGCAATATAAAATGAGATGGCTAAGTGTATTCAGAATATAGGAAGGAGGGTGTTGAGAGAAAGCAAAGGAAATGGATTTCATACAAAGGAAACATGGTGGTGGAATGGAGAGGTGCAAGAGGCAACATAAGAAGGAATGCTTCTTTGCATAAAAGTCCCAGTGAAGAGAACTTGCAAAAGTTTAGATTGGCAAGAAAAAATGCAAAGAAAGCAGTGCGAGAAGCTAGAGACAAGGTTTTCGTCAATTTTTATAAAAATCTTGGGAGCAAGGATGGTGAAAAATGTATATATAAACTTGCAAAAATAAGGGATAAGAAAAGTAAAGACCTCACCCAAGTTAGATGCATCAAGGATGAAAATAAAAAACTTTTGGTGAGAGATAAAGATGTAAATGAAAGATGGATGAACTACTTCAACAAGCTGTTTAATGGGGATGGCGATACAAGCGAAGTGGACTTGGAGGATGCTTATGATGATTTGAATAGAAGATTTGTGCGCAGAATTAATACACATGAAGTTAAGGAGGCTTTAAAGAGGATGAAGACTAATAAGCCTTGGGACCTGATGGTGTCCCTATTGAAGTGTGGAGAGGCCTGGCGGTGTGGCAATGTAATGGTTGACCAATCTTTTCAATAAGATTCTTCAGACAAATAAGATGCCTGATGCATGGAGGAAAAGTATGATTGTGCCTATTTACATAAACAAGGGAGATATACAAAATTGTTCTAACTATAGAGGCATTAAGCTAATGAGCCATACTATGAAGTTGTGGGAGAGGGTTATTGAACATCGCTTGAGGAGAGATACCAAGGTTTCTGTGAATCAATTTGGATTTATGCCAGAAAGATGTACCATGGAAGCCATTTTCTTGATGCGACAATTAATGGAAAGATATCGAGAAAAGAAGAAGGACTTACATATGGTGTTCATAGATCTTGAGAAAGCATATGATAGGGTTCCAAGGAAAGTTTTATGGTGGGTTCTGGAGAAGAAAAAAGTACCATCAAAGTATGTAAAGGCAATCAAGGATATGTATGATGGGGCTAGTACATGTGTGAAAGCTTGTAACGGAATATCCAGTTATTTTCCTATCACGGTAGGTGTACACCAAGAGTCGGCTCTAAGTCCTTATCTCTTTGCCTTAGTTATGGATGAACTAACAAAAGATATTCAAGAGGAAGTGCCATAATGTATGCTTTTTGCAGATGATATTGTGCTTATTGATGAGAACAAAGATGGTGTTAATAGAAAACTTGAATTGTGGAGAAGCACATTGGAATCTAAAGGATTCACATTAAGTCCGAGCAAGACTGAGTATCTGAAGAGTGAGTTTTCTCTGGTAAGAGATGTAGACCAAGATCCCGTGCATCTAAGTGGTCAAGAGGTACCCAAGAAAGATGCTTTTAGATACCTGGGATCCATTTTGCAAAAAGGTGGAGAGATTGATGAGGATGTAAATCATAGAATCAGAGCAGGGTGGATGAAATGGCGTAGTGCATCTGGGTTTTTGTGTGACCGCAAAATCCCCCTTAAGTTAAAAGGAAAATTCTATAGAACAACAGTAAGACCTGCAATGCTATATGGAGCTGAATGTTGGCCAGCATATAGACAACATGAGCATAAAATGGGAGTAACAAAGATGAGGATGTTAAGGTGGATGCGTGGTTATACGAGGATAGATAAGATAAGAAATGAAGATATTCGACGAAAGGTAGGAGTACTACCGGTTGCTGAAAAGATGAGAGAACATAGATTGAGGTGGTTTGGGCACGTAATGAGAAGGCCCCTGGATGCTCCCATAAGAACAAAAGTTTGTTACCAAGAGCTCAACACAAAAAAGGTAGAGGTAGACTGAAACTTACTTGGGGGAAGGTAGTAAAACAAGATTTAATGGAGTGAGATATAGATTGACGGACGGTATGCCTTAGAACGGAATGGAGAAAAGTTATAAGAATAGTGGAGGGTTAGACCCGTTGTTATTCTTATGTTCCAGATGGTCCCTTTTTAGTCATTTTCCTCTTCATTTTCCCCTCTTCTTCTTTTCCCTTTCTTTTTTACTTATATATATATATATATATATATTTTATTTCTATTTTTATTTTTATTTTTTCAACCTTTTTGTATCTTTTATTTGGGTTCATCTACCACTGATCCCAATTAATTTGGGATAAAAGTGTTGTTGATGTTGATGTATTTGCCTGATTTCTCTATGCAGGCAGTTCGAAGAATGAAAACCTCGCCTTTGAGTGCAGAGGAGATAGCATGCATTCAAGAGGTAGTTTATTCAACAATATCTTTGGATTTGAAAATTTTCTGATTGATAGCATTGTGACTTGCTAATAATGTATGACAAAAAATACACAGGGACTTAAGATTTATAAATTTGATTGGATGTCAGTATGGCAATATCTTGTTCCACACAGAGATCCATCCTTGCTTCCACGCCAGTGGCGTATTGCCCTTGGGACTCAAAAGTCATATAAGGTAGACGCATCAAAAAAGGAAAAGCGAAGATTGTACGAGTCAAAAAGACGAAAGTTGAAAGCTGCTTCAGTAGAAAGTTGGCAAGCTATATCTGATAAAGAGGTTTGTTACTGTCTGTAGCTTAGAAGCATTGTTGAAATTTTATAACTCAGGTCTTTCCTGTGTATGAGATGCCATTATAGTCATCTTAATTGTTGCTTTTGCTAACTGCCTGCTTGGCTTATGATGACTAACATACGGATACTCAATATAGAGTTTTAATTTATCTTTATGCGATCTTGGCTCATAAGTTAAATTCACCACAAGTATATAAGAATCTATAAATAATCAGAATGATGTTGGTGTGCTTGTAAATCTACCAATATATATGTTTTCCAACATCTCTTAGTTGTGTACTTGGCGTGTGTGAAACAGCCTCTCACCTCTACACCGGTTAGTTCATCAATCAATGCAGTGGACCATGGCCTATGGCTTAGTTTGAGCATTTAGTTTTTTCTATGGGTCATTGAGGATTGAAATTCACAAATTTTTACAGGTTTTTTTGGAAATTGTTGCAGGATTTTGAGGCGGAAATTGCTGTTTCAGAGAATTGCATGGGTTGTTCAGATGTTCCATACGTCCACCAGGCATTTCTGGCAGATTGGAGGCCAGACACATCTACTCTTACTCATTCTGAATGCATTTCCTTAACATCTGGACAAGGAAACCTTGCTCATGATGCAATTTCACAAGAGGATATTCAATTTTATAGAGGCATTCACAATTATGGTTTAAGTGGAAAAGTTCAACTTCAGAATGGTAATCGGCCTTCATTTCCATCTGTATCTAAGCTTCCCCAGCTTTTTCATACTACATCTGATTTAAGGAGTGGCATAAAAGGTACTCCTAATGCCACTAAACCAAGAAACCCGTACTACTGTCGGCCCTATCGGTCTCGGAGGGCAAATAATGCCCACTTGGTGAAATTAGCACCAGACTTGCCCCCTGTAAATCTTCCTCCATCTGTTCGTGTAGTTTCTCAGACTGCTTTTAAAGGATTCCCGTGTGGAACATCTAAGATTTTCCCTCCTGGAGGTGGTGTCACTGATTGTAGAAAAGATAATTCTGAGTCTCAAATTCCTTATGGTGAGAAAATTAAATTCATTCATCCAGTTAAAGGTGCAAGACCTGTGCTGCAAGACAGTGTGACTGGTTCCCTATTAGAAAGATCTGAAACTGTTGAAGGCAGATCTACTGTGGCAGATAAAGGTACTTGTACTGATCTCCAGATGCATCCTCTCTTGTTCCAGGTCACTGAAGCAGGCAGTGTGCCTTATTATCCATTGAAATTTAGTTCTGGCACTTCTAGTTCCTTCAGCTTCTTCTCAGGAAGCCAACCACAATTAAATCTGAGCCTCTTCCATAGTTCACAGCAACAAAGCCACATTGATTGTCCTAATAAGTCCTTGAAGCCAAAGGATCCTACTTTAAGGTCAGGAGGCATTGATTTTCATCCACTTTTGCAGAAATCTAATGATACACAATCACAAACAAGTTTTGATGCTATTCAGGCTGACTCACTGGTTAATAGTGGTGTGCCAGCTATAGCCAATAGATCTTCTGGCCTTAATGACAAGTCCAATGAACTTGACTTAGAGATTCACCTAAGTTCTGTATCTGGCAGGGAGAAATCTGTGAAAAGTAGACAGTTGAAGGCACATGATCCAATAGGGTCTAAGAAAACTGTAGCAATTTGTGGAACAGCAATGAAACCTCAAGAGAATAGTGTTTCATATCGTCATCAGGGTTATAAAAATCCTTCTGCTAGCAGTTGCGAGATTGCTTCAAGTGCCCCTTTGGTTGTTCCTAATGATGACATCACCAGATATGATGTAGATGATATTTGTGATCAGTCCCATCCCGAGATAGTAATGGAGCAAGAAGAGTTAAGTGATTCTGAGGAAGATGTTGAAGAACATGTAGAATTTGAGTGTGAGGAGATGGCTGATTCTGAAGGAGAGGATGGCTCTGGTTGTGAACAAGCTCCTGAGGTTCAAAATAAGGTAATTTGGTTTATCTTCTCAGTTAGCTTTTGGTTTTCAATTGAGTGTGTGCACACACGCGTAGCAAAATTTAACAACGATGAGAAATAAATTTTTCAAGTTTTAATAATGGGAGAACTAACATAAATCTTCTCTTATGTAGTTTTCTTTTTTCTTTTTTCTACTTCAGTCTTCCAAAAATGAAAATAGAAAGTGAATAGATTTGTATACCAAAATTTATATTGAATTACCAATGTCTAATTTTGAGTATGGGTTTTCATTAGTTATTTTACTATGTGGTCCTCACTCCTTACTATGAAACTTTACTTGTTTGTATTGACTTAAACTATTTAAGATAAAAACTAAAAAGTACACTTTTTGTTTGAGCCTTGCATTGAGAGGACATAGTTCTATTTCCAGACTGCTCTATCCATGTCTTTCCAAATTTCCGTTATTTGCTTGTCCCTTTGCGGACTGCATTTTGGTTGTGGTGGCTGCCGCAACCTTATCAAGCCATGATTAGGGACCGTATCAGGCCGTAATTACAGACCACATTGGCTGTGAATAGCCCGCAATGCAATTTAAAACCCTTTTTATATCAGTCAATCAGTGGCAACATGATAACCCTTTTCTTAATCAGGCAAATTTAATATCTAGGTTATCCTCATCAGGCTCTCAGCTCTTCTGGTGAAACTCTAAAGGCCTAGATGATCCCATTGTTACACATGTAACTTTATCTCCCATCCTTCACAAAAGCTCTGTAGTTTATAGATATGTTTTTCACCTATCTATTACCTATTTGTTTTTGTTGCTTCTTGGTTCATGATCATTTGATGCATTATGTGCCAATCTTATTATTCTCATGGACTAGAACCTTTATGCTAGTTAGTGTTCGGTCATTTTTCTTTGCTTTATAGTCCCATATTATGCTGAGATTCAACACCCCATTACTTTTATTTGATGCTTATTCATGTTCTCTGTTAATTTCTCAAAATATATTTTTTCTTCTCTGATAACCTTCCTTTTTAACTTTGTTCTGTTAGGAGGTCCCATTGTCTTCAGATGAAAATGTTGCAAATTATACGACTTGTATGGAAAAACCATGTGAACCAAGGGCCAATTCTGATGCTCAAGTTGATGATAGTCTCCTTACAAATAATACTACACCAAATATGGCTTATATTAGTGAGGGAAAGGATGACAAAAGTAGTTCTCCATGGTTAAGTTTAGACTCATGCACAGCCGATAATCCTGTACTCTCAAAGACCATGCTTCAACCGGGTACATCTGGTGAAGCTCCTGCTTCCAGGAACTTAACAATTGGTAAAGCAGTCGCAGAGGAGAGACCTACCATAGACATGGTACAGCCAAGCCAAGGTCCGCATGCGTTTAGCACACCACGAAAACCCAGGAAGCGTTTTGGCAAATCAAATGCAAATTTGAATATAGGATTGACTGTTGAAAGATCAAGCCATGACGGTAATCATGGAGATGGTTGATTGAAGTGTTCTGGCAAGTGGAATGCTAATAGTATTGACTGTTAAAAGTTAAAGCCATGATGGTAATGATAAAGATGGTTCATTGATGCACAGTCTTTACTAAACTGACTTTTTGTTGTTCATGATGGTACCTTTGGCATCTAATATTGTTGCAATCGCTGGATGGCAGGTAATCAGAGCTTAGTTGCAACAGGATAAGGAAAATTGGCAGTCCTTTTTCCTCCCTCCCTTTGTCCTTTAATGGGACTCCTTTTTTGTAGGTACTCCGCCAAGAGCTGGGATTTTATATTAAAATTAGTGGCAAGGGTTCAAATTGATATTTAATCTTTGTAAATATGTTGCTAGAGGTCAGGGGCAAAATTGATGTACGCTCATGTTCACTGAATATAATGTACAAAAAAAAGTTCTACTGCGGCCGTCCATTGCCTCCTAGTGGTGGATTGATGAATTGTATATAACTATATTCTTCACTAATACCGATTCCCCAACAAATAATGCCCAAATAAGTGCCAAGAACTTGTGGGCAAGGTATCCATTGGCCCTGCACAGCTTTTCTTGACATTACTTTTGTTGAAATTAATACTACTCATTGCTGTTAGTTCAAATTATGAGCAAGTTTATTTAAAACAACAATTTCTTAAGTCTTAGCCAATTCATATTGGCAACCATGTATGCAAATTGCAATTCGCAACCATCTATTAGTTGCAATGCTGAATAGGGGAATCGCCTTCTTACCGAGCAAATAAGAAAGGGAATTGCTGATTTTCATGAAATGAAATTCATGAAACAACTCACGAATTGAAAATAATTGTTGTGATTTACCCATCAAGTATACGATGATTCCATATAGGGGTGTGTAAAATAATCAAAAAAATTGAATCGAATCATGAACTGAACCGAACTGTTTTTAAAATAACCGGTTTTTAAAGATCAGTTCATGAACCGAACTGGTTTTTAAAACCAGTTTAAGAACCAAAACGAACCATTTTGAACCGAACCAAATTAATTTTTATAACTTTATTTTTTAATTTTCTTTTCTTTTCAAAAGAGGGTCGACCTGAACCGGTTTTGAACCAAACCACTTCCGAACTAAACCATTTAAACCAATTCGGTTTGATTTTTCAAAAAATCCGATTCGGTTCGACCCATGCAACTCCCTAATTCCATATGCTGTGCCTTTAATCATTTTCGTCTTTTATTATTCATGTGTCGCATTCATAATAAGGGTTTGTAAAAACCTTTTGCACAATATAACAGGGCTCAGTAAGAAATGGTGGATTTTCTTTAAGTATACAACTAACTTTAAGTAAACCTTTTGAACCCAGTTAAGTGCAGAAGGAATCACCACTCGAACAGCCGCATATACCATGAGACCAAGACACATCAGATTGGACCCACAAGAATTACACGTACAAGGCAATCTCCTCTCTCCACCAACGGTCAAAATCGTTATCCCAAAACCTCATCCACTCCCTCTCTTTCCCTCCACTCATTTTCCACTTATTGTTTCCATTGCAATGGAAAATCTCAGCCCAACACATTGACGTAGGGAGAGGATAAGACCTCACAAACAAAACAACCATCTTAACATAAACCAACCAAACTACAGAACACAAAACTCAGTTGCAACAATGTCTTGCTCCAATCTCACAATGTTGGTGTCCTCCAAACCTTCTTTATCTGATGCTTCTAACCTCTCCTTCCGTTCTGTCCTCAACCCTTTTCAGCTTCCTTCACAAAACTCAAATTGCAGCCCTTCAAGACCCTCTGTCACCCCAGTTCAGTGTGGTCTCCGAGAGCTCAGAACCCGTATTGATTCTGTGAAGAACACACAGAAAATCACAGAGGCAATGAAGCTTGTGGCTGCTGCTAAAGTCAGAAGAGCTCAAGAAGCTGTTGTGAATGGAAGGCCTTTCTCAGAGACCCTTGTTGAAGTCCTTTACAACATCAATGAGCAGCTTCTAACTGAAGATATTGATACCCCTCTCACCAAGATTAGGCCAGTGAAGAAGGTTGCACTTGTTGTTTGCACAGGAGATAGAGGTCTTTGTGGTGGGTTCAATAATCAAATCATAAAGAAAGCTGAGGCCAGAATTGCTGAGTTGAAGGGTCTTGGTCTTGATTATACTATCATTAGTGTTGGTAAAAAGGGTAACTCTTATTTCCTTCGTAGGCCTTACATACCGGTTGATAAGTTTCTTGAAGGTGGTTCACTTCCCACTGCTAAAGAGGCTCAAGCAATTGCTGATGATGTTTTCTCACTGTTTGTGAGTGAAGAGGTTGATAAAGTGGAGCTTTTGTACACCAAATTTGTGTCATTAGTGAAGTCAGATCCAGTAATTCATACCTTGCTTCCACTCTCACCAAAAGGAGAGATATGTGATATAAATGGGAATTGTGTGGATGCTGCTGAGGATGAGTTCTTCAGGTTAACAACCAAGGAAGGCAAGTTAACTGTGGAAAGAGATGTTGTGAGGTCTAACACTGCAGATTTTTCTCCCATTTTGCAATTTGAGCAGGACCCAGTTCAGATCCTTGATGCACTCTTGCCTCTATATTTGAACAGCCAAATCTTGAGGGCATTGCAGGAATCACTTGCTAGTGAGCTAGCTGCTAGAATGAGTGCTATGAGCAGTGCATCTGATAATGCAGTTGAGTTGAAGAAGAACTTGTCAAGGGTCTACAACAGGCAACGTCAGGCTAAAATCACAGGCGAAATTCTCGAAATTGTTGCTGGTGCCAATGCCCTGCAATAGTGCACTATGCCTATTCCTTCTCTCATCCATGTTTGGATATCTTTGTAGGTATTATAATGGGTATCGCCCCTTTTCTTTCTCATATGCTGGTTTACTAAATGACTGTTATGCAATTCTTACGCTTTTATTGTCTCTCTCAAATGCGCAAACTTTGTGCTCTAGGAAAACTGTTCTTTAATCTGAAACGGATGCCTTTTTTAGTTAAGATTTTGTTTTTTCCACTTATAAATTATATATGTAATAATAAATCTATATAAAGATTCTGAGAGTTCTCTTTTTTGATTTGTTCTCAACTGCAACATGCTGTACTTCTAGAGTAGTATTTCACTTAATTACTTCCTATGAATCACAAAATGTTCCAGTGCAATGTGGTAATTGTGTTTGATACTTGTATAAATGTTGGATATATTAATAACATATATGTTCACATCCAAGCCCAATAGGTTTCAGGATGGTTATTTGAGCCGATATGAGCTGGAGCCCAATAGCTTCCATTATCTCTAGGGTTTCCTAAGCTGGAGGTAACACTGTTGAGCATTCCAAACTTGATGTTTCTTGGGTAATACTTCAAGCACTTCAAAACTCTTCTCTCTTAAACTCATTGCCTCCAACGGTAAATACATATATTATGACATGGGAAACTAAGTAGAATGGCACATATCATAGTGGATATAATCTATTCACAGATGCATGACCAAACAGTATCTATAACATTGAGAAAACAACACACAAAAACAAAGATAAGCTATCTCATGTTACCTGGGTTTAGGCATTAGATATGTTCATCAATCCCTCCCCACTATACTGAATCTCATTAGCTTTTGGCTATCAGGCATTTATCCCCTAAACTAAAGTGACTCTTAGATGTTTTTGTATATCTGAACTATTAGAGCAAGTCAGAAAGTAACCTCTCACATTAACTCTGTTAATTACAACAGTGCATGATTCTTGTCTTGTACAGTAATATATACGTAGTAAGTAATTCAAAGCATTCTATTCACATGCTTCCTTGCAAGTTGCAATGAAGATTTGTAGCCGGAAAAGTTGTTGGGCTTCCTTTTGATTAATCAAAAAATGTAGCTTGAGATGATGCAATTCTAAAATGTCCCCTTAGATTCGTTATAGATTCATATTTGACATCAAGAGATAAGCACCTAAAGCATAATAGTGCACAAATTGCTCTAATGCTTTACAAAGGCAATACATGGTTGCTGCAATGTCCTTTTCTGTCCTGTTTTATCCTAAACTTAAGCAGTAACATTTTTTGCTTATGAGTGCTATGATGAAGCTGTAGGGAAAATGAAAACGGAAATAGGGAACTTTAATTTTAAACAAATTTAAAAATAATGGTAGAGAGTTTATTTTGTGTATGAAACTTCATAGACTGTAAGAAAACAAAGTGTTGCCTGATGGTATCTGGTATCAATAGCAGATTGTCTGTTCATTCCTATAAGTGAAACGAACTTACCCTAAATTAATTACAGACAAAGTATGAAGAGTTCAAAATATCAGTTAAGTTGTAAGTACAACAGGTAAAGGATAATTTGACTGAAAACATGATATCAACCAAGCACATCGGTGAAAACGCCCTGGATAGGTGACATGAATTCCTTGTGACCAAGAGGTGCAAATAGAATGGAAGCATTTTTATGAGGACCATTAGAATTTTTCTCAAATTATAAAAGGCAAAAGTACATATCCACAAAACTATCATGACGTTGGATCCTGATAAATTTTTTTAAAAAACATAATTGGTGTTGGATCTTGATAAAAAAAATTTTAAAATAATAATTGGTGGGTCTCCTTTTTTATCTTTGAGGCAGACACTACTTTTCTGCCGCTGCTACAGAAAAGTAATGCACATGAAAAAATAAAGGGTTCCTGATGAACTGAAGCATGGATACTTAAAAATAAAATCGTTTAAGAAGTTACAAGCAACCACCTATTATTTGTTAAGTAATGCAAATTATCCTTTTATGTATTATTTAACATGACTATGTTGTGAAAGAATTCTAACCACACAAGAGTGAATCAATAATAGTAAGGGATGAGAGAAAATTTATTAAAAGATGAAGTTATAAAATTATCACGTTAATTTGTTCATAAATAAATGAATGTTGTGCCATCCATCTATTGACATTCAAGTTTATGCTATCATCAAATGGAGGTACTTTCTTCGTAAGGGTCAGACCAATCAATCAATCAATCACATTTAAGGTCACATTTATAAAAACGGCATAGAGCCATCTAAGGCTCTCTTCATACCTCCAATAATCCATGTTGATAATGCTGTACCGAAGTTCCATCTATAATAGTTCTAGCTTAATTAATTAGTAAATTACATGTGATTTAATAATTAAGTATGTATTAGTGAATAAAATTAAGTATAGGGCCTAATTAAGTGAATTGGGGTCACTTTTGAGATAAAAAGTGTACTCAGTGAAAATTAAGGAGTATAAATAGGTGTAAGCAAAAGTACCCAAAATATAAAAATGAAAGAGAAAATACTCCTAGAAAAATATTCCAAACCTTTGGGTAAAGTTTGGTGGTGAATGGAGTTGAATAGATAGATGAGCTAATACCCACTTGATTTCACTTAACATGTTAAGCGACTAAGAAAAAGTGAAATCCCTTTCATCCCCCCCCCCCCCCCCCGACCAGAAAAGAAAAGAAGAGAAAAGGAGAGAGTGAGAAGCAAAAGAGAAAGGGAGGGAGCCAAAACCCTAGATCCTTGGATTCTCCACCTATTTGAGTGATTCAAAAGCCTCAACCACTTAGAATCTTCCTCTCATCTTTAATCCAAGCTTGATTTTGAGTGGGGAGCTTTGTGGTGTGAGATTTTTCCTCTCAAAAATTCGCCCTCTTTGAAGGTTGAAGGGGTTTGGGAACATTTCACTTCTTAGAAGCTTGAGGAACCATCACTCCTTGATTATGCAACCATTGGTGGTAAGATTTTACTCCTTGAACTCTATTTCCATGGAGATTGTATGTTGAGGAAGATGATGAATAATGTTTTTAGGGTTTTATGATAATGTGAGTAAATTGGCTGTGTTCAAGGAAGAATGAGGCTTAGTGTATGTTGTGAAAAATGCTAGGAATGACATTTAATCAGTGAAAATGAGTTTAGGTAGTCAATTGATTATACTTTGGAAATTGCAAGATTATATACTTGATTGTGGATTTTCTTGCATTAGTAATCAATGGTTTGATTTGGTTGATTATTGATTGTATCCATGTGATGGTTAGGATTGAGGCAATTGGATCACCCTTGAGGGACCAACCATTGGAGCAAGCTATGGAGCTTGATTAGCCCAATTGGATAGGTAAGTCCATGCAAATTGTGGTGTGGAGTTGTTGTGTTGTTGATTGTAACGCCCGGCGGCTTCAAGAATCAATGACTATCTTGTATCGTCTGGCCGCTTCAAAAATCAATGACTATCCCCACATACTAACACGAGACTTTTCAGTGTGTTTTTTCCTCACTCGCACACTTTCTGGGAAAACTTCCCAGGAGGTCACCCATCCCAGAATTGCTCCAAGTCAAGCACGCTTAACTATGAAGTTCTTCCGTTCCGGGCTACCGAAAAGAAGATGCATATTATTAGTATAGGTAGTACCAATAATTCTTATAAGTCATTCCTAACTGTACCGTCCCATACCAGCACAGTCTCTGGAATCCCTCTCTTTCGGGTGTTGATTCGATTCATTCATGAACCCCCAAGCTGCAAGATGCGGCTCATGCTTTTTCCTCACTCGCACACTTCCCGGGAAAACTTCCCAGGAGGTCACCCATCCCAGAATTGCTCCAAGTCAAGCACACTTAACTATGAAGTTCTTCCGTTCCGGGCTACCGAAAAGAAGATGCATATTATTAGTATAGGTAGTACCAATTAATTCTTATAAGTCATTCCTAACTGTACCGTCCCATACCAGCACAGTCTATGGAATCCCTCTCTTTCGGGTGTTGATTCGATTCATTCATGAACCCCCAAGCTGCAAGATTTGGCATGAGCCGCTCATTGTCTGTGCCCTTTCGCACCGGCGATCACTCCCTGCCTTTGCCAGCTCTTGGGATGTTACATGCCCACCAGCTTCTGCCTGGTTCGTCCTCAAACCACACCGTACTGGAAGAGAGGCCCTGCTCTGATACCACTTGTAACGCCCGGCCGCTTCAAGAATCAATGACTATCTTGTAATGTCTGGCCGCTTCAAGAATCAATGACTATCCCCACATACTAACACGAGACTTTTCAGTGTGCTTTTTCCTCACTCGCACACTTCCCGAGAAAACTTCCCAGGAGGTCACCCATCCCAGAATTGCTCCAAGTCAAGCACGCTTAACTATGAAGTTCTTCCGTTCCGGGCTACCGAAAAGAAGATGCATCTTGTTAGTATAGGTAGTACCAATTAATTCTTATAAGTCATACCTAATTGTACCGTCCCATACCAGCACAGTCGCTGGAATCCCTCTTTTTCGAGTGTTGATTCGATTCATTCATGAACCCCCAAGTTGCAAGATTTGGCATGAGCCGCTTATTCTCCGTGCCCTTTCGCACCGGCGATGACTCCCTGCCTTTGCCAGCTCTTGGGATGTTACATTGATGAATACATGGATATTCATTAAATTGTATTGATTGATTGTGTGACACCTTGGTGTAGGTGAGTTTTGCAAGTTATAGCTTGAATACGAAGTTGACTGGTTGTAGAAATTGTTAGTGAAGAACAAAGGTTGAACTGAAGCTTTGAGGTAAACCTTCAGACCTTGGGTGTAAATCCCTTTACTGTTCCACCAAGCCCTGAATGGGTAGTGGTGATTGATAGTGTATATAAATGCAATGAAATAGTTTAATGCTTTGTTATACGTATGTGTATGCATTTGGTGTGGCATAGGACGGTGTTTCCCTATGTTGGTATGTTGCATGACGATGCGTAATTCATACTTGGTAGTTTAGCTGGCCAGTAGGACTATTTGCACCTGAGTATCCTTAGGAAAGCTTGAGAGCTCGAGGGATTTCTCCTGGAGATGTTTGTTACACACTGCATGGATATGTATTTATTACATTATTTATTGTTATTGCTATTACACTGAGATTGAACTATGGGGTGGAGAGATGCTCCAAGGACCCCTGGTTTACTGTGATATATTCGTATATCTCACCCCGTGTTGTGGGGACCCCCTTTCAGGTAAGGATGCTGCAGGAGCCTCTGATGGTAAGTGGCCATATTTGCAATAGTTGATACATGAAGATGTTGCATCATTGAAATTAAGCATGCTATGTTGTAGTTCATATGTATAAGATTGTGAATTGAAAGTCAATTGTTATCTGTATATTATGTTTTATTGGATGGACTTAGCCTATGCTCATCTCCTTGGTTATCTCTTTTGTTGATGGGAGCCAAGGGATTGATCGTAGTGTTTTGTAGCTAAGTCCCATGATTTTGTAACTAAACATGTTGCGATGATGTAATGTTGTAATTATTGGATATATATATGATGAAAGGGTATGCATGTTTCTCTTATTGTATGTGTACCTTGAAAGAACAAAGAATCATGTTGGGAAGTGATTATATGTTGTCTATTAGGTGGAAGAAGACCTTTAGACTTAAAATTCATGTGGAAATGAAGATATCCTGTCTTGTTGTCCATTTTTCATATCCTATATGATAGATTTGGACCCTTGTGTCTTAATGGAAGTTGTAGATCTTTTTCTTAGCTTTCCATTAAGACCAAGATTGTGTAATTTGGATGTGTATAACTCTAGTTAGGGTTAAAGAACTAAAGCTTGGTGTTGTCCCCAGAAATCTGGCGCTACTAGCGCCGTGTTGGCGCTAACCGCGCCAAGGAACAGAGAAGGAAATGCATTCCCGGCGCTAATCGCGCCAGTCTAGTGCTAACCGCGCCAAATACAGGGAAACCCTCTGAGGCTTGGCGCTAATCGCGCCAGACCCAGTAGAAATCAGCAACTATTTTCGTAGAAGAGTCATAACTTGGGCTACGGTGCTCTGATTTGAGAGCGGTTTGAATCTACGCGTAGCTAATAAATAATCCTATAATATTTTGGGAAAATGGAGACCATAAAGGTAGTATAGGAATTTCTTAAATAAATAAAGAGTGGATACGTATAATGTTTAAGAACAATAAAGTTGAGTTTTAAGCCTTGGTAGTCTAAGGGGACTACTTGACACCATATGGTAGCAATGTTTGGTCTAAGTAAGATTTACAATAAGTATTCCACATATAGTTTAAGTTATAATCACCTTATGGGAATTGGTTTGAATTACGGAATGGATTTTAAACAAAAATATTTATAAATAAAAACAGAAAAAGTTTATCCGTATTTTAATTTAATTTTATGATTGTAACTGCGCTTAATGTCGTACATAATAGTAACAAACCGGTTCTAGAACGGGGTGTTACACCATCACTACAACTTGTGGATGGCTTCAAATTGATTCTATTTTAATGTTAAACTTAGTGTTCCCCATATTTACGATGAACTCGTTACTTTTATGTGTATATAAAGCAAGCATTAACTTTATATATATATACATATATATATATATATATTTTGATTGAATATATATATATATATATATATATATATATATATATATTATTAGTCGTTGATCTATTTGCTACTATAATTTATTAGAAATTAATAATTTATTAAAGAGTAATAATTAATTAAAGATGTAACTATGAGAATGATGTCGAACTTGCAACGTCAGTGAGCACAAAATAACTTAGGTGTCATTTGCCATATATTTGTGTTTTTGTCTCTCATCATCTACGCTTTACTTGGCTCATATTATTTTCTCTGTTTCATTTTTTTTAGTTGTAAGGTGTTTTAATGATTATTTATTACGAGATTCATCATTGTTGTGTTTAAGTACTTGCCTTGACTCCAAAGCACTTCAAATTAAATCCTAACTCACCTGGGATATATTTACTTTGCAAACTTATCTCGTGATTTTTTTTTCATTTTCTTTTAAGGGGGAAACCGATTTCACTTTTTAAGCTTTATTGCTGCACCTTCACGAGTTCTTTTTTTAAAGTTAAAATCCATCCGTGACCGTGAATAAAACGTTCCATGCATGAATTAATTAATGATTCAAATGAAGAGAAGAATGCAAAAACATTGTCCTCACGTTCTCGTTAGCTCTATGTGCCACATCCTTGTTGATTACTTGTTTCTCACCCTTGCATCCTATCAAAAGTCGAACAGCTATACATTTTTAAACTCCCATTAATTATGTATTGGACTATGTTATTTGGATTCAAATCTTTTTGTTGATTCACCAAATAATGCTAGGTTGTTTAGTACATGAGAGCTGAACAGATGGAGGTTAGAGCATGTAGTAGTATTATCTTTGAGAGGGATTCAAAAACTTAATTCTAGATCGGTCTCAAATTCTGAATCTAGTCCATAGGAAACCTATAGAATTAACGGGTATAATATATAAAAAAAAATTGTTGCTTTTTTATTTTATTTCCCAAGGTATCCATCCTCCAGCCGACAGCTGGAGACTAATCCTTTCGAGGCGGGAGATCACATTAAGTGAGTAAACCTCTCCCAACGAAGCCTTCTCCATACACACAGTCAGGAATCGAACTCCTGTCAACATGCTTAAGGAACTCAGCTATCTACCAACTGTGCTGGGCTTTGTTGGTTGCTTTTTTTAATAATAAAAGAAAGGTTATATGTATCTCATGTTATATAAGAGAAATCAATTTTTTACACACACACAAAAGTGGAGTGGGTCCCACATCTATTTTTTTTCTCTCCTCTTACTTGTAGATCCCACTTGTAATTTTGTTTCTACTACACGAGATATTTTTTTTCTTACAACATAAAAAACCTATTTCCCATAAAAGAATGGGATTTATATCTATAATATTGGAGAAAAATGGACACATCATATCATATAAACACCAAATGTGGGGCCCATAGGTTTTAAAAAAAAAAAAAAAATCACAAAGTTCAATAGTTCTGCCGGAAACATCTGTTCATTCCTTCAACATGATAGTTCTAAATCCCTATTAAGATACACGCACGACAAAGAGAGGTTAAAATTGGATACAACATTTGATGTTACAATAACCACTCAAATAAAACTCATTTTGGACCGTTGGATGTCCTCGCGAACTGTCGTTACTCCCATGAACGAATGAATGTTTGCGAAGCTTTAACACTAGACAGAGTGAGTGCATGTGTGGCTGAGACTGAGATGCTTAAATCAAAACTCTTCACAGAAAGCATAACAAAAAGTATAATATAATATTCTTGAATTACAATATAGCGTTTGTTTTATGTATAATATTTTGTGATTTGGTGCACAGATTGAGAGGGAAGATCATTATTACAAGTGATCATTGATCATGTGCTCAAGCCATTGTTGACAGCACCTATAGAAGAAGAAACGTTCCTGACGCCAAAGTAACTATGGAGATGTCTTTGCAACTAAACCGCCATCCAATAACAGCTACAATTGGCTACCAGGTAATTACTATGCTGTTTATGTATCAAACTGTTGTTGTCTGATTTACTTTCTTCTGTTTGTTCTTTTTTAATTTTTAATATTTTTTTGCTTGAATTAATATGATGGTGAATATGTCAAATTTATTTATTTATTTATTTTTGTTTCAGTCTTCACCATGCAAGGCAGGTTGGGGTGCTTATTGCATCAATGCTAGTGCAGGTTTATTAGTTACTTTATTTTCTTTTCTTGTTTTGTTATAGGAATTCATTTTTATGCAGACAAGGCAGAAAAATTTATCTGCCACGTACACATATTTACCAGGATCTGACGTCGAATCCTGGTAAATATGTGTATGTGGCAAACAAACTAACAAAGTATTTCTGGCGGCAGAAATACTTTTGCCTTTGTTATATCATAAGATTGCTATTTCAAATTTTTGAATTTTTTGGTTTTTATATTTTGGTAGATTTTTCACGGAGTAGACAACAGAAGAAGGTGTCCCTTGCAAGGCCCAATGGTCCTGGTCCTTCTTCAAAGGGTTTCAACCAAAAATCGCCTATTGGAACAAGCAGCCATAACAGGAATAAAAAGAATGCTAGAGTCAAGAGGGGAGATTCATTAACTCCAATGGTTAGTGAGATTTCAGGTGATGATAATAAACAAACACTTGATGTGAATATTGATGCTGATAAGGAAGAGGCAGTTGAAATTTCCCAGGAGGGAAATTTTGAGGTTGTAGATAGAGCTGATGGAAGTGCTGGGGAGGCAGGTGAATTATCATTGCTAGATGAGGCATTGAGTGTTGTTAAGAGCAATCAAGGTGGGGAAATTAGAAACATTTCTGTAATTGATGAGGATGTTGATGTTCTCAAATTACAGAAAGAGGAAATTTCTTACATTGGGGGTGTTAGGAATGTTATAGATTCAGAGGAAAGGACAATAGACTATGCAGAAGTTGATGAAAACGCTAAAGAAACAAATACTGATGCTGATGGTGAAATAATTGAGGAAGCCATTGAGGAAACAGGCACTGCTTCTGATGATAGAATAAATGAGGAAGCTTCTAAGTTGTTGAAGTTAGAGTTGGAAGCAAATTTGCGCAGGCAGGAAATAGAAAGGATTGCAGAGGAAAACCTTTCACAAGGGACCAAGCTGTTTGTATATCCTCCTGTGGTTAAACCTGATCAAGATGTAGAAGTGTTCCTTAATAAGAACCTTTCAACACTAAGTGATGAACCAGACATTCTAATCACGGGGGCATTTAATGATTGGAGGTGGAAATCTTTTAGCATTAAGTTGATTAAGACACGTCTCAAGGGTGATTGGTGGTTTTGCCATGTGCATGTGCCAAGAGAAGCTTACAAAGTAGACTTTGTGTTCTTCAATGGACAAAATGTCTATGACAATAATGACCAAAAAGACTTCTGCATACATGTTGATGGTGGAATGGATGCATTAGCATTTGAAGATTTCTTGCTTGAGGAGAAACGCAAAGAATTAGAAAAACTTGCTAAGGAGCAAGCTGAAAGGGAAAGACAGGCCGAAGAGCAAAGGAGAATAGAAGCAGACAAAGCTGCAAAGGAAGCGGACAGGTCACAGGCAAGGATGGAGGTTGAAAAAAGGCAAGAAATGCTGCTGCAATTGATGAAAAATGCTTTAATATCCATTGATAATGTTTGGTATATTCAACCTAGTGAATTTAAGGGCAAGGACTTGGTCAGATTATATTATAACAGAAGCTCAGGTCCTCTTGCACATGCTAAGGAAATATGGATTCATGGTGGGCAAAATAATTGGGAGGATGGATTATCAATTGTTGAAAGGCTTGTCAAATCTGTTCTAAAAGACGGTGATTGGTGGTATGCTGATGGTATGCTCTTTGACATATATTTTTCCATATCTTTGGTGTTAATTCATTTCCTTGAAATGAATCTTTGACTGGACTTTAAAAAAAAGTGTATGAATAGACAAAATATATACACTATGATGTGACATGCACAGAGGTGGAGTTTGACATCTCTTCTTTAAATATGATTGGCCTTCTGAAGGAAGACACATGCTATGTGTCATGGTATATGCTGATGCATGATGGTGATGCAACAGGTGAATGAATGGTATGGATTTGTAGATGAGATACTGATACATGATTCTGAAGTACTTTTTTATCCCTAAGAGGAATCAGGATTGAAGTGAACTGATTTTTTAGATCTTCCATGTCCATCATTTAATTTAAACATGAAAAGGTTGCATATTAAAGGGACTGAAATATTTGTGTGTATGTCCATCATTTATTTGAAGTCTTTTATGAGAAGTTTGAATTCTGAACTTTAAAAGTTACACGAGCATTTCTAACTCATTGCTTTGGATTTCTACCGTGTCTGCATTAGCTTGGCTGACATTTCAGAGATAGAGAGATAAATTTCTTAGATGAAGCATTAAATTTTTAATAGAATAGGATTTAGACTCACCTCATTAACTCTTTAAGTAATTCTAGATCAATGACTGTTCCATGGTCAGCAAAAGAACATAGGTTCAGAAGATGGATAAAAACTTGATCTTTTCTTTAGAATTAGTTTGTGAAGTATACAAAACTTCTTTTGATCAATTTTATAATCTATGCAGTTGTTGTACCTGACCAAGCTCTTGTCCTGGATTGGGTCTTTGCTGATGGTCCACCTCAAAACGCAGTTGTGTATGATAACAACCATAATCAAGACTTTCATGCTATCGTCACTATGGCTATACCTGATGAACAGTATTGGGTTGAGGAAGAGCAGTTCATATACAGAAAACTCCAGGAGGAGAGAAAATTAAGAGAGGAAGTCATACGTGCAAAGGTTAGTTCTTGCCTGAGATGACTTTTGAATAGTAACATTGAGGCACTACCGAAGATACTTGTCAAGCATAAAGATAATAAGTCTTGTAATGTAATCTCTCGTATGGCGGATAAGTTCACCTTTTTTAGTTTGATCAAGTAGATAGTTTATATTCTTTTGTTGAGAATGTAGCTCTAGTTTGATCCCCCCATAACTGTTTGCCTAAATGCTACAATGCTCAATGAAGCATTCAATGTTTTGGGAAGAAAACAGATTATAACAGATATTTAAGCTACTAAATACTCATCTTGTTGATTTGGTCCTGTTCTTGTTGCAGGCTGAAAAAACAGCACAAATGAAAGCTGAAATGAAGGAAAGAACTCTGAAAAGACTTTTGCTTTCTCAAAAGCATATCGTCTTCACTGAGCCTCTTGATGTTCAAGCAGGGAGCAAAGTGACAGTATTTTATAACCCCTCCGACACAAATCTGAACGGAAAACCTGAGGTTTGGTTTAGATGTTCATTTAATCATTGGTCTCACCATAACGGTCCACTGCCACCTCAGAGAATGTTGCCTGCAGACAATGGCACTCACGTCAAAGCCTCTGGTGAGTCTTTCCTTTAGTTTACATTTGAAAGATGATTGGACCATAGTATTCCAGCAATTAGAAATATTGAGGATTTTAATGTTTCTTTGGTTGCTCAATTTTGAATTCTTTTTATTAATTATTCTCTGTTTAGATTTTGGTGAAAGGATGTTATTTCTGAAATATGATCAGGTGTCCTCCAAATATATTATGTTACCACTTTTGATGTTATCATCATATATGGTGTGCTATTCTGGTTAGCAGATTACTGGTCTAGTGGTCTTTCTATTGAATGAATTAATGTGCTACCAAATGGTATTCTGTGTGTGGATAATGCTATTTGAACAATGCTAAAGGAGACAAAGAATGAAAACAGGTGTCCAGAGCCATTTGATTACTTGTGGATTTGTGCACCAGAATTTTGGTATGCCACTGTATAGATTTAGAGATAAATCGAATGATGCAGAAATATTGGTGCATGCTGTAGGCTGGCCTTTGATCTGAATGCCGTGTGTTTGTCGTCACAAATGTTATGAAGATAGCTGCAGTGTTTATGATCTGTATCACTTATGGTTGTACTCAGATTCCATGTTCACGGATCTTGTACCATTAGAAGTAGCGTTTCAAGATGGACAATTTTGTTATACTTTTGCATATATGACTGTGTGCAACTTGATAGAAATTGTAATCATTTTGTTCTCTCCAGGAGAAAAGACATTTGGTCCTAAAGAAATTCACTGATTTTGTGTTTCTGCAGTTAAGGTTCCACTGGATGCATATATGATGGACTTTGTATTCTCCGACAGTGAAGAGGGTGGAGTTTTTGATAACAAACTTGGAATGGATTATAACATACCTGTTTTTGGAGGTATTTTAAAGGAACCACCTTTGCATATAATCCATATTTCTGTTGAGATGGCCCCAATTGCAAAGGTAAGCTACCCTATTGCATGTATCTTATCTCAATTTCATCTACATGTATCTAGCCAGACTTTTTTTATTGCCAAGGCTGGCAAATTTTAGGAATTTTCAATGAATTGTTTGTCTTGTGTTGTGTTACGTAATGATATATATTGCCGCAACAGAGGTGTTACACATCAGTTGCAATTTTTGTACTCTTTCAATATACTTCTATGAAAAAGCGGAATTTGAGAATTTGAAAGGCTGGAAAACTAACATATTCATTTTGATGGGGGAAAAGAAAAAGGAAAACTGTCTTTTAAACATTTTAAAATATCGCAACTTCTGCAGGTTTAAGGATATTAGAGTTCAACATTCCCTTTAATATATGGGATTTTAGAACAATTTCTTGAGTGAAAAACATTCTTCTATTCTTCCTGGTCTTTGTTATATTTCTTCCAGGTCAGTCCTTTTTCTCTGCTCATCAGTCTCTACATTTTTCGTAATCTTTGATCTTAGTCATATAGGGAGATCTTGTTAATAATCAATCTTCTTTGATTATAATCTTTTCTCCTTTGCATCTTTGTGGAATAAAGAAGACAGAAGGATTATAAATGATCTCCCTAAGTGGATTCCTTTATTTGTGGATAAAGATAGAATTCTTGAACATCTTGAGAAAAAATTCATTGATCCTCTTTAATTAATGATGAAGATGGGTAGCACTAGGGGAATGTTCCCAGTGCCTTAGATCGGATCTTTTAAGAAGGCATCAATATTAAAGAGGTAGTCTTATCTGCAGTTAATCTTCAATTTTAAGATCTCCATTTTCCATTTTTTCTCTTTTGAACTCAACATTTCTCACACCATTCATTCTGTATGCTGACGTTTCTGTTTTAAGAACGTTCTTGCATTATTATTGTAATCTCTCCATTATTTTCAAAGCTAGGTAGGAAGAAAAAGAAAAACCAAAATTAAACAGTAGCAGATATGACCAGGAAGTTTATTATTTTGTTCTGAGTTTGAGGGACTGCACAGGGGTATTTATTTCAATGGATATGCATAGATTATAAAATTTTTAGAAAATAATTTTAGAGAGAGAATCCTACTATATAAATATATTTAAATATAGGAAATCACGTAGCATCCTGATGTAGCTAGGCTGCTTCTGAAGGATAATTCCGTTATCTATTGTTATTGCAATGTTTTTTTGTTCACAGAAAGATTGTTACTAGTTACTATGTTATGCAGAGAATATCTGTTAGTTATTTTAACATATTTTCCCGTTTCTCATGTTATTCATTTTTTGCAGGTTGGAGGCCTTGGTGATGTTGTTACTAGTCTATCCCGGGCTGTTCAGGAATTAAATCACAACGTGGACATCATTCTTCCAAAGTATGATTATTTGAACCTTAGCAATGTAAGCTTTTTTTTCCTTGTTGCTTTGGTGCTTGTTAATTATCAAGATACAAGAGGTATTGATTGTAATCCTTGTGTCAACTACACGAAGGAGATTTCATTTATATATTAAACCAAATAAGAGATACAAAGACATATACACAATGTGTGACCTCTATGACACTATTTACAACAACACTCCCCCTCAAGCTGGAGCATATAGATCGTATGCACCAAGCTTGTTACATATCTGATCTATCCTACGTCCTCTCAAAGACTTAGTGAATACATCGGCTAATTGATCATTTGAGTTGACAAAACGAGTGACTATATCTCCTAAGAGAACCTTTTCTCCAATTAAATGACAGTCTATCTCAATGTGCTTAGTCCTTTCATGAAACACTGAATTTCAAGCAATATGCAAAGCAGTTTGATTATCACAAATGAGAGATGCTGGGCCAGTGTCTCCAAACTTGAGTTCTGATAGGGCCCAACTTAATAAAGCCCAATACTGATGTATCACAGCCTAATGAGCATGCTAAGTCAGCTTGTTTGTTAGGAGAGTTTGTTACTGTAAAGAACCTTGGGATACACTACCCCAAAAGCTAGCTCAAAGGGTGGGAGTGCCCAAGGCCTCATACAATCAATGTGGGACTATATATCTCAACACGCCCCCTCACATGAGAGCCCATTGGACTTGAAGAGTGGATGATGCAACAGGCCCAACCTACCTGTGCTGAGAAATTCCACAAGAGAAAGTGGAGGGCGGCGAGGTTTGAACCCGGGACACAAGGCTCTGATACCAAGTAAAGAACCAATTCAATCCAAAATCTTAAGCTAATGGGTAAGGCTACATTAATGGTTTTATATATCTCAACACGCCCCCTCACACGAAAGCCCACTGGGCTTGAAGGGTGGACAATGCACAGGCCCACCTACCTGTGCGAAGAAAGAAATTCCACTACAAAGAAAGTGGGGGACAGTGAGGTTCGAACCCGGTACACCGAGGCTCTAATACCATGTAAAGAACCAATTCAACCCAAAAGCTTAAGCTAATGGGTAAGGCTACATTAATGGTTTTATATATCTCAACACGCCCTCTCATACGAAAGCCCACTGCGGTTGAAGGATGGACAATGCACCAGAGTCTCGCCGCCCCCCACTTTCTCTTGTGGCGTTTCATAGCACAGGTAGGCTGGGCCTGTTGCATTGTCCACTCTTCAAGCCCAATGGACTCTCATGTGAGGGGGCGTGTTGAGATATATAGTCCCACATTGGTTGTATGTGCAACTAATGTGAAGTTTATAAGGTCTTGGGCACTCCCACCATTTGAGCTAGCTTTTGGGGTGGTGTATCCCAAGGTTCTTTACATGGTATCAGAGCTTGAGTGATTATAAGGTGATACCATGTAAAGAATCTTGGGATACACCACCCCAAAAGCTAGCTCAAAGGGTGGGAGTGCCCAAGGCCTGATACAATCAATGTGAGACTGTATATCTCAACAGTTACACATGATGAGACATTAGATGATAAAAAGGGACGTGAAGAAGGAATGGGTACCGTGGAGGTCATGAGAATTGCTTATGCAAAGTGGGAGATCTCAGGGCATCTCGAAAGCCCCTGAACCATTTACATTCTGTTAACTTTTCTTTTTTTCTTTCTGCACAATCTGAGCTATAGAAGCACTATAGTATGTATTCAGATTTGTTTCAAGCGTAACTTTCTTGATTTTACTGGTTTGAGCTTAATATAGAGGAATTATTCAGAAAATCCCATTGTTTACGTTTGCATTCCTATCAAGTTCCTTCAGTAGTTGTTTTAACCAGATGAGTTCATAGGTGGCTGTGGCTATGGAGCGATATTCTGCTTCAGCACTTGATCTAGCAACTACATTTTGTTTCTTACTTCAAAATGACAGACTTTTTAGTGAGGGAAATAATACACCAGATCCGACGCCAAGTGTCCTCCCCGAGCTCTGATCCTGCAAAATGACAGACTTTTTAGTGAGGGAAATAATACAGTTAAGGGATCGAGTCAAGCGACTAATGGAAATAAGGTTGAAAGGAGAATTAGGAACATAAAACACATTGTTAAAGGGAATAGAAGGAAAAAGGAGAACAGTGCCAATCCCTTGGGGACTGAACCAGTGACCCATTAGCCATAGTGATACTGGGCAGGGGACCAGACGTAGAGAGAGAGGTGAATAAAAACTTATTACCAGAAATATGGTCAGATGCACCAGAATCGATAATCCATGAACCAAGAGAGGGCGAGTGAGAAAAACCAGTAAAGGAATTACCCGTGTGTGCACCAGAGGCAGTGGTACCAGGAGGACGCTGCTCCTCATACCATTGCAAGACGTCAGTGAGAATAGACGGAGGTGGTTGTGGTGCAGCAATCAAAGCAGAGTCCGAGACAGGAGCAACACTCTGAGCAAAATTAGCGGAGCGAGGAGGGCGACCATAAAGATCCCAACAACGATCAATAGTATGGCCCGGGTTGTTGCAATGAGTGCAGAGAGGGCATCCTTTAGGGGGTTTGCGTCCACGTGCATAACCCTTGGAGACAAGGGCAAAAGGGTCAATTGAAGAGGGAGAAGATAATGCAGGCTCCATAGCAGACTTAGGTGAAATTAGAAGCAACGTAGACCAAACAGAGTCCAGGGATGGAACAGTAATAGAGCCCAAGATCTGATCCCAGTTGACAGAGTATTCCAACGGCAAGCCATATGAGCATGAAGAATGTGCTGCGTTGCTCAAGTTCATTAGCAAGGTCTGCAACATGAGGCAAAAGTTCATTGAAATCATGAAGGAGACCCTGAACTTTTCCCAAATAGGCAGACATAGAGACATCAAAGTGTTGAGCAGCAATAAAAGTTATCAAATTTTGACAAACACCATAGAGTCGCTGAGTGTCATTGGTATAAAGTGACTTGTCCTGACGCCAAACAGACTCACAAGTGACGTGAGCACGGAAGATCTGCTTCAATGACGGGTGGATGGTAGACTTGATGATGCTACATAACTGAGCATCAACCTTTTTCCATCGAGGGCGTACATCTACCGAAATGGACTCAGCCTTAGTAATGAGATTGTCAGCATAATCCTGTCCATCTAGCCAAAGTTGGAGATCAGAAGCCCAAGAGTCATAATTGGAGCCATCCAACTTGTCGACGTGCAACGAAACATTAACGTAGTTAGTGAAAACAGGCGTGTCATTCTTTTGAGAACCCTTGGATGCATCGTGGAGTGACGAATCAGCCATAGGTCACCTGAAACAAAGATGAACAATAACGGAAAGCAAAGAAACACGCGTGAACAGTAACTAACAAGGGAAAAGACGTTGTGGGAAGCCGTAACGAAGTCAAAACCACAAAGTGAGGACAAATCCAGGTGCGCAAGGAGAAGACGAGATGAACCGTGGTGGTCCGACGTCAAGCCGGAGTTGCACGTGTAACATCCCGGGCGCTGACGAGGGCGGGGAGTGATCGCCGGTGCGCAAGGGCACAGACAAGGAGCGGCTCCTGGCAGGCTTCTAGGGACGGGGGTACATGAATGAATCGAATCAACACCCGAAAGAGAGGGATTCCAGAGACTGTGTTGGTATGGGACGATACAGTTGGGAATGACTTATAAGAATTAATTGGTACTACCTATACTAACAAGATGCATCTACTTTTCGGTAGCCCGGATCGGAAGAACTCCACAGTTAAGCGTGCTTGACTTGGAGCAATTCAGGGATGGGTGACCTCCTGGGAAGTTTTCCCGGGAAGTGTGCGAGTGAGGACAAAGCACGCTGAAAAGTCTCGTGTTAGTGTGTGGGGACAGTCGTTGATCCTTGCAAGTTGCCAGGCGTTACAAGTGGTATCAGAGCAGGGCCTCTCATCCAGTACGGTGTGGTTCGAGGACGAACCAGGGGGAAGCTGGTGGGCATGTAACATCCCGGGCGCTGACGAGGGCGGGGAGTGATCGCCGGTGCGCAAGGGCACGGACAAGGAGCGGCTCCTGGCAGGCTTCTAGGGAGGGGGGTACATGAATGAATCGAATCAACACCCGAAAGAGAGGGATTCCAGAGACTGTGCTGGTATGGGACGGTACAGTTGGGAATGGCTTATAAGAATTAATTGGTACTACCTATACTAACAAGATGCATCTACTTTTCGGTAGCCCGGATCGGAAGAACCTCACAGTTAAGCGTGCTTGACTTGGAGCAATTCAGGGATGGGTGTCCTCCTGGGAAGTTTTCCCGGGAAGTGTGCGAGTGAGGACAAAGCACGCTGAAAAGTCTCGTGTTAGTGTGTGGAGACAGTCGTTGATCCTTGCAAGTTGCCAGGCGTTACAAGATGTAATGTCCCACATCGGTTGGAGATGGGAACGAAGCATGCCTTATAAGGGTGTGGATACCTCTTCTAGTGTGAGACCTTTTGTGGGGTGTCCCAAGAAACAAAACCGTGAGCTCGACGGTGCTTGTGCGCGGGGCAAAACGGACAATATCATGCTACAGGGTTTGGGGCACGCGCCTCCACGCACCGCTGCAAGAAAACGGACAGCAGTGGCTGTCTCACGCGCGTGGAAGAGAATCTGGAGGTGGGTCCTGGACAGAGAGGATTGCCTCGTCGTGGCGATCAGAATCGTGGGTGGTTCGCTGGAAAAGTCGTCGGAGACTGCAGTCAACGGCGGTCAACGGTGGTTCCTGACAGCGACACTGATCCGATAGGTCCTTAGACGATATATGGAAGCCGAAAACTGACAGATATGACTGTTTCCGGAAAAAAAAAAAAATTACTCAGCGGATAGTGGTCCACCGGAAAGACGCGGATTAGGATTCCTCTTGTTAGGCTCTAGATACCATGTTAATTATCAAGATACAAGAGGTATTGATTGTAATCCTTGTGTCAACTACACGGAGGAGATTTCATTTATATATTAAACCAAATAAGAGATACAAAGACATATACACAATGTGGGACCTCTATGACACTATTTACAACAAGAGTGCTTATATTACATCTTGAACTCTGCATGGGATATTTAATGTCTGTTACTTAATTCATCAGTTTTCTGCCCTTTCCCTATTGAATACAGAATGATGTTGTAATTATTATAGAGAGTGATGTAGTCTGAGTTTTGATATGAAACTGATTGATAATCAATGGGGGGAATTTCTAGTATTGTTTGATGGTTGCATGGAAATGAATGATTTGTTGAGCACATTTCTTAACTTTTGGCTGTTGAGCATCTGCATCAGTGACTCTCTTGAAAGATATAAAAGGCTATTGTTGAGCACGTACATTAACATTTTGTTTGAAAATTCGTATATTGTATTCATGTTGTTTTGTTATTCTTAGCTACAAAATATATGGCTGCTGATACAGGTACAGGACTTTCAAAATTACAAAAACTATTTCTGGGGTGGGACTGAAATAAAAGTATGGCATGGAAAGGTTGAAGGCCTCTCTGTCTACTTTTTGGAGCCTCAAAATGGGTAAATGCTCTGACATGTCAATTAAGCGCTTCTTAGGTCTAAGCTTCATATTTTATTCTGGAAAAATACCTTTTTCACATCAACTTTCTAGGTTAAAGCAATATCTATGTTGAGATAACATGCAAAATTTTATGGTTACTGTAGTAATATCATTGAACTTAAAGTCTTCTAATAAAATTGCTTGATGGCAATCTTATAGGCCTGGGGATTCTTTTGGACACCATTTGCTAAGTGTAAATTGTTCCTCTGGCACGTTCATTGCCTGTGGTGGGGTTGAGGTACTAGCATTTTAGGAAAAGAGTAGGAATGGTGGTGGTCAGGCACGTGTAAGCAACTTGCTGGCTAGGCTTTTAATGTATTTAAGAAGCATTAGGTCACTTAGTACCAAACATTGTGGTTGTCTGCAGCAGTTATATCCCACATCCAGAAGTGTATCTTTTTTAATCTTTTGTGCTCTTTTTTTATTTCCTTTATTGGGTAGCTGCATTTGTACTCTTTATGAACATTGCCATTAAGCTGACTTGGAAAAACTTCAAATGCTTCATAAATTTAACTATGCTTTAGAAATCAATATTCTTTCCTACAGATTCTTTCAGGTTGGCTGCATATATGGTCGTGGGAATGATGCAGAGAGATTTGGATTTTTTTGTCATGCAGCTCTTGAATTTCTACTCCAAAATGGATTTCATCCTGTAAGACATACCATTTGGCTAGTGATTAAGCGTTTATTTTAATTTATTTTTGATAAAAAGTTTATATTTTTTTTTTTTAATTTCATAACTTTCAAGAAACATTTCCTTTCCTGATGTAAGAGTGGAACATAAATTGTCTATTCTTTGGATGCAACTTAACATTCTCTTTCATCCCACTAGACCCAAAAACATTATATGCATGCAATTTTTCATTTAAGACTAGTCAGAAATTAGAACAGGGGTGAGGAAATTTTGTCACTTTTTTTTAGGGTGAGAGCAATCATTTTACTTAGTTTTATCCTTATATATTTGCAAAGAAAATATTTTCTAGATTCGAACTTGTGACTTTTCAATCACACAAGAACAGTGATACCATTTATCCAGGCTAGACATACCATTAATATAAATTTGCATGCGGCCTCAGGTTTAACAATGTATATTATCACATGCTTTTGGGGGAAAAAAAATGTTTGGAGTTTAATTAGTTTTCTCCAAGGATGTATTGTAATTGGCTCTTACCAATGCGCAGGATATCATCCATTGCCATGATTGGTCGAGTGCTCCGGTTGCATGGCTATTTAAAGACAAATATGCACATTATGGTCTTAGTAAAGCACAAGTTGTCTTCACAATTCATAACCTTGAATTTGGAGCCCAGTTTATTGGAAAAGCCTTGACATACTCAGACAAGGCTACAACGGTAAAGTGCTGGTTATGACCTAAATTCGTCAATTTCCCTTACTTTCACATAATATTTTATTGTTTTAGTTATAAAAGTGTTGAACCCTTTGCATAACAGGAGCTTCATAGCACCAGACTGCCTTTTTTATTTTTAGCATATATATTATTGGGTAGATTTCATGGAGAGAAAGTTGTATGTTGTTGCAGCCAAAATTCTTTAGTGATTGTTGTTGTAAATAATATTGATTTAGTTATTATTTAGTTTTTATTTAGTCATTTATTGTTGTATTGGGCCAAGCCCTTTGTTGTATTGGGCCAAACTCATTAGGTTAAAAGTAGGTCAAATATTCTCTATAAATAGAGAACTCTTTGTACAGATTATTTACAATTCTATAATATATTAGAATACCCTTTTTCAAGTTGGTATCAGAGCTCTCGATCTGAGGGCTTTGCTTCCGCACATATTATCTTCTTTTTTAACAAAACCCTAATTTCTTTGCCTCTTGCTGCCATTAGCCGCCACCGAAAAATTTTTCCGGGGACCTTTTGGACCAAGGGGACCATTGTTGACCTTATTTTTCCTCCGATCTATCATTCTACGCAGTGTTCCTCCGCCACAAACGACCGAAACACCTCCGATCGCCTCCAATCAGATCTGTCTTCACCGTTTGGACCACTTTTCGGCGACTTTTCAACCGCGACCACCCACAGACAGGTGCGCGCTCACCGGACGACCACACCAGAAAAATCTCAACCGGCGAAGCCCATCCACGCGCTCTCACGCGCCGCCCCTTTCCCGGCGAGTGAATCCCACGCGCAGCTCCTTTCTCCGGCGCGTGGAGGCGCGTGCAGCCGTGTTTTTGGACCGGACCACCACCATTCTTCTCGTCTTCTTGTCTTCTGTCTGGATCTGTAATTATTTTTCTGATCAGAGGTCATTTGATATTCTGTTTGGTTGATTTTATCGCTGGTTGTTAACTTTTTTTGTTAAAGAATGGCCGAGCATGATAGTTCTTCGATCTTATCTGGTAAGAGCACACGTTCTATATCTCTTCTTGCTTCTTGCACTGATTTTAAAACCTCATGGATTTTGGATTCTGGTGCAACTGATCATATGGCTTGTCGTACTGAGTTGTTTTGTTCTTATCATCCTACTGTTGGTAGTCATACTATATCCGTAGCTGATGGATCCCATAAATCAGTTATTGGTTCTGGTAACATTCAAATTCAACCTTCCTTGTTTCTTAAAAATGTTCTTTATGTTCCTCAGCTTTCTACTAATCTTATCTCCACTCAAAAACTTACAACTGATTTGAATTGTTCTATCACATTTTTTCCTTCTCATTGTCTTATTCAGGATCTTACCACGAAGAAGACAATTGGAGTTGCTAATGAACAGGATGGGTTGTATCATCTCCTTCCAGACCATGCTAGCAAAAATCAGTTATTAATGACACGTCATCCTTCTACTGCACAGTCTATGATTTGGCTCCATCACAAGCGTCTCGGGCATCCACCATTTAGTCTTTTGAAGTCTATGTTCCCCTCTCTGTTTCTCAATAAGTCGGTTGAGACCTTTCATTGTGATGTTTGTGAATTTGCAAAACACCATCGAGTGTCATTTCCTTCTAGCACTATTAAAAGCAGGGAACCTTTTTCTCTTATCCATTCTGATGTTTGGGGCCCTTCTAAAGTGCACAGTGTTTCAGGTGCTAGGTGGTTTGTTTCTTTTATTGACGATTGTACTCGGATAACATGGATATACTTGATGAAAGACAAGTCTGAAGTACCAGAGATATTTATTCGGTTTCATCACATGGTTGAGACTCAGTTTGGTAAGGGTATTAAAAGACTCAGATCTGATAATGGTACTGAGTACGTCAATCAACGCCTGTCACAATTCATTTCAGACAGAGGTATAATTCATGAGCTCACATGTGTTGATACCCCTCAACAAAACGGGGTTGCTGAAAGGAAAATCGTCACCTTCTTGAAGTTGCTAGAGCACTACTTTTTCAGACATCTGTTCCTAGTTCTTATTGGGGAGAAGCAGTATTAGCTGCAACTTTTTTGATCAACCGTTTACCTTCACGGGTCCTTAACAATATCAGTCCTATTCATTCCATGACTTCCTTCTATCCTTCTGTTCCCATATTGCAGAGCCTTCCACCAAGAGTGTTTGGATGTGTTGCCTTTGTCCATGTTCATAAACAACATCGGAGTAAGTTGGATCCTAGGGCTCTTAAGTGTGTCTTCCTTGGTTATAACCCTTATAAAAAAGGGTACAAGTGTTATCATCCACTAAGTCGGAAATTTTTTGTTTCTATGGATGTCACCTTTCAAGAATCTGAATCTTATTTCCTGGGTCCTCATCGTCAGGGGAAGACTCGTCCCCTTCCTTCTTTGAGTCTGGATCAATCTTCTCTCTTCCTAGTGTGTCTGCTCCTGGTGTGTCAGAACCTTCAAATACACCTGAGATACAACCCATACTGTCTGACCAGCAACCTCAATCGTCTGAACCACTGGTAAGTCCTGAATCTCCTATTTCTTCTGAGTCTCCTGAATCTCCTGTTTCTGATTCTAATATTATTTCCTCTCATGATTTGTCTATTTCTTCTGATATCTCTAATGACTTACCCATTGCTTCTACTTCTGATGACTTACCTATTGCTCTTAGAAAAGGAAAAAGATCTTGTCACAAGAAAACTTGTTCCTCCTGTCCCTCTTGTACTCAATACCCTATCTCCCACTTTGTTTCCTCTGCTAATCTTTCTGTGCAGCACAAAAGCTTTGTTTCAGCACTAGATTCTATTGCAATCCCAAAATCAGTACATGAAGCCTTGAAAGATAGGAATTGGGCTCAAGCCATGCAAGAGGAGATGAATGCTTTGGAGAAAAATAAAACATGGGAGGTTATTGATAGACCCAACGGAAAGAAAGCAGTAGGGTGCAGATGGGTTTATGCCCTGAAATATAATTCTGATGGCAATCTTGAGAGATATAAGGCTCGATTAGTGGCCAAAGGTTACACTCAAACCTATGGCATTGATTATGAAGAAACCTTTGCTCCAGTTGCAAAGATGAATACAGTGAGAATCTTGTTATCCCTTGCTGCCCATTACAATTGGGATATAAATCAATTTGATGTGAAAAATGCTTTCGTCAATGGTGAGTTAGAAGAAGAAGTCTACATGGAAATCCCGCCTGGTTTTGATTCTGTGAAGGGGGAAAATAAAGTATGTAGATTAAAAAAGGCCTTGTATGGATTGAAGCAGTCACCTCGTGCTTGGTTTGGAAGATTTACTAAGGTTATGATGACCTTAGGATACAGACAGAGCCAAGGAGATCACACTCTTTTCTTCAAGCACTCCCAAAATGGGAAGCTTACTGTGCTCCTTGTATATGTTGATGATATTATTATCACAGGTGATGATTTTGTGGAGAGACAGATTCTGCAAACACGGCTTGCCTCTGAGTTTGAAATCAAAGACCTTGGGAAACTGAGATATTTCCTAGGGATAGAAGTAGCTCATTCAAGCAAAGGAATTTTTATCAGCCAGAGGAAATATGTTCTTGATCTTCTCAAAGAAGCAGGAAAGCTCGGGTGTAAACCCTCTAATACTCCTATTGAGCAGAATCACAAGATGGGCTATGAAGAAGAGAGTCCTCCAGTTGATAAAGGACAATATCAACGACTAGTTGGGAAATTGATATATCTGGCCCATACTAGACCAGACCTAGCTTATGCTGTTAGTGTTGTCAGTCAGTTTATGCACGATCCAAAAGAAAAACACATGCAGGCAGTAGAGAGAATTCTTCAGTATCTTAAAGGTACTCCTGGTAAAGGATTGTTATTCCGACGTGATGGCAATCTATCTTTAGAAGTCTACACAGATGCTGATTATGCTGGATCCGTGACTGACCGTCGTTCTACCACTGGTTATTGCATGTTTCTTTGCGGTAACTTGGTGACATGGAGAAGTAAGAAACAAGATGTGGTTGCCAGATCAAGTGCAGAAGCTGAATTTCGAGCTATGGCTCAAGGCATTTGTGAGTTACTGTGGCTGAAAATTGTTCTTGATGATCTCAAAATAAAATGTGAGGGACATATGAAGCTGCTATGTGATAATAAGTCCGCTATTTGTATAGCTCATAATCCAGTTCAACATGATCGGACTAAACATATTGAGGTTGACCGCCATTTCATCAAAGAGAAACTTGATAGCGGGTTGATTACCACTCCATACATTCCCACTGGGCGTCAATTAGCTGATCTATTAACAAAGGGGCTTCCTTCAGACAGATTTCAAGAACTTACTAGCAAGCTGGGAATGATAAATATCTATTCCTCAGCTTGAGGGGGAGTGTTGTAAATAATATTGATTTAGTTATTATTTAGTTTTTATTTAGTCATTTATTGTTGTATTGGGCCAAGCCCTTTGTTGTATTGGGCCAAACTCATTAGGTTAAAAGTAGGTCAAATATTCTCTATAAATAGAGAACCCTTTGTACAGATTATTTACAATTCTATAATATATTAGAATACCCTTTTTCAAGTATTGTGCACTTAAAGTTATAGCATTTCTTGTCAAAAATTTGATTGGACCTCTCACTCGTCATCTGTATGTTTAAAATCTATTTCCCACAAATATTTCCCCTTCATAATATAATTCTATAAGATTGGAACATCAGATACTATTTTGGAGGTTAAACCGAATCATTAATTTGAAATGAAGGAGAAGCTGATTGTGATTTTTGCATCTTTATCATATTCTGATTTTCTATTATTGAATAAGCATTTTGGTCATACATCTTTGGCAGGTCTCCCCCACTTATTCAAGGGAGGTTGCTGGGAATCCTGTAGTTGCTCCTCATCTTAGCAAGTTCCATGGTATAATAAATGGAATTGACCCAGATATATGGGACCCATATAATGATAACTTCCTTCCTGTAAGTAGACATATACACAGATCTTTCTTTGTCTTTTATAACATATCTACAGTGGCATATAGGTTTCAAAGTTAAGTCCCAACATTATGATTTGTGACTGCTTGATTACCTATGTCTATTTACTAAAGTTAGACAATTCAAGTGGGAACAGTGCTGAAGCGGTTTTTATCTTCACTTTTTACTTCCATTGGAAAAGACACTGTAATGACTGGCTCCCTCCTATATCAGTTCTCTTATCGATGCCCCTAAAAAAATGCAATCGATTAGAGTGAAGAAACTTGCAACATCTTATTCTGTAACTTTGTGAATGTTTGGGATGGATCATCAATATGAAGAAAATTGTCCCACAGTGCACAACAGCACACATTGTCCCATCTGAGTTTAACAGAGAGAAAATTTTAACTAGAACTTCTTAAATGCAAATGGACTGATAGATTTATGTATGAAGTGGAGTTCAGTAAAGACTCCAATGAGTCAGTAGCATTACTCTAATCCCTATAGCTGTAACTGTGCTTATCACATGCAAGTTATTTTAATTTAGTTTCTACTAATTCAATTATGACTTCAATATCACATTATTCCAGGTATCATACACATCAGAAAACGTTGTTGAAGGAAAAAGAGCTTCCAAGGAAGCCTTGCAACAAATGCTATGTTTAAAAAAAGCTGATCTTCCTTTAGTAGGAGTTATTACTAGATTGACTCATCAGAAAGGGATCCATCTCATCAAACATGCCATACGGCGCGCCCTAGAACGTGGTGGACAGGTCTTCCTCAATTTCTATTATAGATCAAAATGTGCACCAGCAGCAATGCCATAGTTTTCTGCATAATAGTGGATTGTTCCTTAGTATATGAACACTGGTAGAGCAAATTATACTGGTAGAACAAATTATAAACATTTTAACTATTATTTTTTGGTATAATTATAAAAATCATTCTTGTGGCCATGATACTTCATAGTTTAAGCTTTTAGGCCAAGTGGTTATTTTACAACTGATTTCGGTATTAAATCTTCTTTTACTAAGTTGTTTTGCGCTTAATCCTCATTGTCCTTGTGTTAGAGATAAGCAGACAGATTTTGGCATCCACTTAACAGTTTCAGATTTTAAGTCAAGTGGTTTAGTGGAAATAATTTTACAGGATGCATGATATGATATCTTCAAATAGTACGACATTTGAATTTGTTATTAGATTTTCTTGTTCAATTTAGAACTTGTTTTCAAATGTTGCACTAAAGTATCCTTGTCTTGACTCTGAAAAGATTTGAATGCAGGTTGTATTACTTGGTTCCGCTCCAGATCCTCGTATCCAAAATGATTTTGTGAATTTGGCCAATGAATTGCATTCCTCTTATAGTGATCACGCTAGACTTTGTCTAGCATACGATGAGCCTCTTTCACACTTGGTAACTTACGGAAACTAAAAAATCTTTGGTCAACAAGGTACAACTCAATGGGGCGATACTGACTCCTTTACATTTTTTGTTCTAGATATATGCTGGTGCTGATTTCATTCTAGTTCCTTCAATATTTGAGCCATGTGGACTCACTCAACTCATAGCAATGAGATACGGTTCAATACCTGTTGTTCGAAAAACTGGAGGTTTGTACATGCTTTATTTTTAGTCAACAATAAAATTCATTTAATTGGTCTTGTTGACATGCAGACCCTGAATAATGCGTTGACTATGTACATTTCTATGTGGAATGTTTTTTTGTCTTTTTAGATTATTGTGTTCATTCAACTCAATTTTGGTTCAGTTGACATTCATCTTGATATAATTTTGCAGGACTTTACGACACGGTATTTGACGTTGATCATGATAGGGATAGAGCACAAGCACAAGGTCTTGAGCCAAATGGATTTAGTTTTGATGGAGCTGATGCTGGAGGTGTTGATTATGCTCTTGATAGGTGAGTTATGTGCTATATGATGAGCAGGCAGTTATATCTAAACATGAAAAAACCCAATTTGCCCACAGCACAACTCCAATAATATGTACCCGTCGGCATATATATTTAGAAGTTAAACCATATTTAGTAATGATCTATGATGAATTTCAATATCTCTAAGCTTGGCTAGTAGCCTAAAAGTCCTTTCAAAAATATATTTATGTCAAGGATCAAGCCCAATTTGTGACCATACCAATGCTAGTAGCATACGTAATAAATTAATTATCCCAAAACTTTAAGCATCTGGGTGAAAATAAGTGAGGTTTTATATTATATCTCTAATATACTTGTCACACAAGAGTTCTTTGAGCTTGAAATAGAGATAATATATAGGCCAATCTACCTTGTGCTAAAATTCTTTCTTTTATTAGAAGAATAGAGGCAGCAAAGATTCAATTAAAAATCTTGATCACAAAGGCTCTAATAGTATATCAGCATGAACTAACTATTCCAATAACAATAACTTTTAAAACTTTTAAGGTGAAGACAAGTAAGTAATATTGTATTACAACTATAACCATGTCTTCTTTATCTGTCACTGTATAAGATTGATGTTTACTAGAAAAAGGAGTTTCTTTTGCTTGATATTATAATTTGTTAAAAAGCTTTTGCAGTGTCCCAGCATTGTATATTTGAAATACACGATCCTTGAAAACAAATTAACGTCGTATGCTGAATTTCTTTCATTGGAACTTTTATGCGGAAAGAAGGGTTGAAAGTGGCTATGGAATGCAAACAAAGGTGGTCACAGTTAGCAAAGGATTTGATCCATACCCCACAAGGGCATGAATTCAAATCCTGCTGGTCAATATGAGGATTTTGTTGGTGAGTAATATATAATTCTTCCCGAAAATCCTCAAAGAGATTGAAGGATCTTCCCCGACCCTATTAGGAACCGGTGTATTTTAGCTTTCAAAAAAAAAAAAAAGTGGCTAGGAATGGACAGAGGAAACCAGAAGCATTATGCATTTTTGCATCTTTTGACGTTGACCTGTTTATTATCTTGTTGCTTTGCTCACATTGTTACCACATAGTTGCACACAAACATGGCCATCTGTGTTTCCAAAGTACTAAAATGTTTCTTATTGCAAAATTAATTTTGTGGACTCTTGCTTTCAGGGCAATATCATCGTGGTATGACAGCCGTGATTGGTTTAACGCTTTATGCAAGACGGTGATGGAGCAAGACTGGTCTTGGAACCGTCCTGCTCTTGATTATTTGGAACTTTACCATGCAGCACACAAGTCAGCTTGAGATTTCAATGGACAGGATGTGAAATGCAAATTAATATTTATCCCCTTTGTACAGCTTTTGTCTCAAGCTTTAGTCCAAGAGTAATTAGTTGCATATAGTGAAACCTTATGAAAGATAGTTAACTGCAAGGTGGCATCAGTTTGTACAGACGAGCCTCATACGGTTCATTCTTTTGTTGGCACGCAATGATATAGGTAAGTTATAGAATATTTTTAGTATATGCTACGAAATCATGTTTTTACAAAGCTGAACTTGTGAAATGCATTGCAGAATAATAGATCAATATGTGCAACTTGTTTTTTGTGCATTACAGAATTGAAAATTAGGAGTAGAAAGCCATTTTTTTTGTAACTTTTTTATTTATTTATTTTGTTTGCAGTGTAGAATCGAAAAAGTTTATTGGAAATTTTGTTATGAGCTTAAATATGACTTTAATCATCTTCGACCAAGGTGATAAAAATATGAGAGTGGATTTATTTATTGAATATGAAGTCGTTGAATATAATTTGCAAATTGTCACAACGTTAATTGATAAAGTGCAATGTGTCATTTTAAGGTGTAATTGGATCCGAAGTGCTATTAATGAGCGATAGAGGTTTTGTGCCGCTTGGGTGTCCTGCCCGACGTTAGATTCATCAACAAATATCACCAGAAGTAAACGTTCAACAAAATATGATAAAATCGTGAAAAAATTTTAGGCACTCCAAATATTCTTTTTTCTTTTTTCTTTTAAGAATTGCTTACCGTCATACTTAACCTTTGTTGGTGTTAAATTACTAACGTTTTCCCCCCAAGCAATTCATGTCCGACATTTAACCAGACGGACAGGGATAACAGTGGTCTAAGTGTAATATTGATCATATATATGAAACAAGTGAATAAAAAAAAGTTAAAAGTTAAAACAACGGTAAATATAGGAACAAGTATCATGTGGAAGTATATATGATAAATAACATTGCTTTCTTTATGAAGTGTTTGGTAGAGGAGAATTTTTTGTTATCAAAAAAATACAATTATTAGGAATATTGTAGGAAAGTGAGTTTGATAGGGAAGTGAAAAAAAAGTTATTTGATAGGCCGAAATATTACCGGGAAAATTAGTTTTAGTTTTCTAAATCTATGTTTGGTTAAAGATAAAATATTGATGAGAAAATAAAATTAAATTACCACAACAACCCTTAATTAAATAAGTGTAATTTTAGGCTGAATAGTTTTCATTGACTTTAGAACAAGAAACTTCTCTTCTTCGTATCTCTCTCTGTTCAAAACCCTTGAGTTATCACTCTTGTTGTTTTTTATTTCTTTTTATTTTTGTGTGTTGTGACCGGTAAGTTTAATGAGATGAATGTGTCTAATTGAATTTTTTTTTTTATGTATTGTCCTACACAATTTATGTAATTGCATAACCCTCCACCGCAGGCTTTGCAAATGTGCTAGCGTCTCAGTATCAGTTGAATGATCAACTCTCGGTTCACCGGTTTTGTCTTTCTATCCCCTTTGAGCTTACATTGTTGAGAGATGACAGCATGAAATGCATATTTTGAAAGAAATACATATTTCTTAGAGAGGATTTGTGACTAATAAATGGCGAGCCACACCAGCTCGATGGATTTTTTGTGAACAAAAATAGTACACAAAGGTTATTTTGGTCTCGTTGCTTCTCGTCCTTTTCGAATTTCTCCAGTCATAATCAAATACCACCTTGTAGGTGGTAATATTCTACAGTGTTTTTTCACACAAAAATCAAACAATAGATAAATGATTTTCCTACTTAAATTTATTAAAATCTCATACCAAACATAGACATGTAAAAATATCATTTTCATTTACCTAGGTATCTTCAACAAAAACTTCTATCAAACACACCCTTAGTTTTTTATGCGGTGAGATAAGGGAAACACACTCGAAAGCGTCGCATTACACCCAAACACCCACTCATTTCATCTCTAAATTACATTTATATATTAGGAAAAAAAAATTCTTTTAAATGATGTAGCGTTATGTTATTTTAATTAAAATAATTGTGTTTTATTTAATATTTAGTAAAAAAATTATCAATAACCTCTAATTATCTGTTAGAGAATAATATAAATAATTAAAAAAGTCATTACTCAATACCTTAAGGTTTTGCGTTGAATTGATTCTTTATATGGTATCACCTTCACCTTTCGAGTGGAATTAAAATAAGCACAAGGTAAACAAAAAACAAAAAAAATTGAGTTTATGTAATATTCACACTTCAAACTCAAATGACTCTTGTTTGAAGGGATATGTTAAAGAAGAGTATGTGAGGTCCATATTTTTCTTTTCTTTTCTCTTTACCTAACTTAATATGGACCCATATATTTTTATATGTGTTTAAAATATAAAATTATCTTATATAATGTAAAAAATATTAATCCCAACGAAAGTTAACTTATTTAACCCAACACAAATGGCCAATTGAGTGAAAAATTTCCTGGTGTACGAACTCATTTGATCCCAAACTGTTTAGGGAGCTTTGTTTTAGTGGACCAGGTACACATGGTCCATTCCAAAAGTAGCAAAGAAAAAGGGAGTTGGAGACAATTTTCAAAGAAGCGAGGGACAAAAAAGAAAATCCATTTTTCCAAAAATAAAAAAAGAACCACCCTAAAAAAATAGAACCGGATCACTTTAAAAAATCCCCTCTTTAGGGGTGACTCAAAATGAGTTTAACTTGTTGGGGGTGGATTGACCTGTCATATTACTTTTTGTTTGTTTGAGATATTAGTTTTTTTTTTTAAATTATTAATCTATGATACTTTATATCACTTTGATCTTCATTTGATATTCTTTACCTTTATGAGAAGTACAATTTTTTTAAAAGATATTGCAGTTTTAATAGGACATCACCGGTTGAAATTTTCAATGTACTTAAACGAAAGGGACGGCGAGACTAAGAGGAATATTTTTGGTACATCAATGTATTAAACTCAGTACATTTTTTTGTTAAATTCGAAAAAACTTATAATGCAGTGGAAAACAAAAAATTCAAAAGTGATAATTTTTTTTTTCGAATTTAGAAAAAAGACGTGGAACAGTGAGATTACCCGCTTTGTCATATGATATATGATTCATCAAATAATAATAGTTCAATTATTAGGAAAGTTGAATAAGTAAAAAAAAAATTCGATTTGATCTTCACATATTATTTTTGAGAGAAATTTAAATATCCTCAATTCTGACATGTCTCACTCTATACTTTAGATTAGTCTTATAATCAATTTAAAGAATTGAAGTTTGTGAAATACCAAAAAGATCTCACTCATTTTAAAAAATAATTAAAGTTGGGTTAATTAAAAAAACAAAAAAAAGTGTGACGTTTTAATGTATGTTCTCTAATTTATCGTTGTCAAAATCAAACTGAAACTTTCAACTGCTTCGTGAATTGACCTGTGCTTTTCAAGACTTCTTTTCTTTCTTTCGATGATTCACATTGATTATTTTCTTATTAAAGAATATTTTAATGGAATTAATACTTTTTTATAAAAAATAATTTATCTTCTACTTTTATAAAAGTACGTGAAACTCATATGCTATGTGAATAGAAAAGAAAAAAAAAATATGAATCTTACATATTTTTATGTGTTTATAAAAGATAAATTTATCTCTTATAACATGAGAATGTTAATCTTATATTTTAATGGGTTATGTTTATTCTCATTTTACATGATATAAACAACTTTTCTACATACAAAAAAAAGAATTGGGTCACACCACTCTTTTTTCTCTCTCCTCTTATATGTGGGCCTTACTTATAATTTTATTTTTACAACATGAGATAATTACTTATCTATAACATAAAAAAAAAAGTATTTCCCTATTTTAATATGTTAAAACTAGTTGAATGAAATAAAATAGTAAGGCATAAAAAGAGAGAAAGCTTATCAGTATACGTCTTGAACCCCGTAATAATTGAGATATTTGACTTTGGGAAAAGTCTGTTATTTTAAAAGAAAGAAAAAGATAGATAAAAGAAGAAAGAAAGTTGACAAAAAAAATAAAGGTGTGAGTCACATTACTTTATGAAAGTGAAATGACATAAGTTGTGTCGTTTAAAAGGATAATTATTTCCCCCTTCGACTTTTCCGATTTTTCCATTACATGTTCTTATGGATTTACTTACTGAAATAATTGGATTGCATTTTAGAGGGTTAGAGTTTCATGTTGACTTATTACTTATATATTGGATAATCCTTCAAAGCAACAAACCGATAAAAAGTGAAGGTGATAATTTAATTTGAGATGGGTTATTTTATCTATTTTTTGCCTATTTTTCTCTATTTTTTTTTAAATTTTGATCTAATGGTATTGGAAAGTGGTAGGCAAAGATAGGCAAAAATAACAATAAATAGAATAACCCATCTCATTTAATTTATTCATATTTGATAGAAGATTTCTAAAAATTTATCCGAGAATATAATTTTTTTAAAATTTTATTTTGTCTGTAAAATATAAACCAAAATACAATATAAGAATATCATCCTGAGGATTGTATTCTCACATTCTCAGGAAAATAGAAAATTAGATGTAAAAATTTTAATAAAATTCCGATAACATTTTGGCCTACTAAATAATTTTTTTATTACATTCAAGAGAAACTTATTTTTCTATCATATTTCTCAAAAATGCAATTTTTGAATAAAAAAAAAATTATCCTCAATCAAATACCCCTTTACTGAACTCATGTTTTTTGATAAACACTTCTTTCAAAGAAAAATGGGAACTTTTGATTGAAAATAGTTTTACTTTCAAATAAGAGTAAACATCATTTTTGGTCCCTGACAATATCTACGAAATCTTTTTTAGTTCCTGCTAATAAAAAAGGATCAAATTGGTCCCTAAAATTATAAACATTAGTCCTTATGTCAACTCCTCCGTCACTAACGTAGCCCTTTTTGCATACTGTTAAGGACCAATTTGGTCCTTTTTTATTGTCAGGGATTAAAAAAATTTCGTAGATATTGCCAGAGACCAAAAAAAGTGTTTACTCGTAAAATAAACTAGTCAAAACACAATTTAAGCATGGTATTTCAGAGCCTAATTGAATGATTTTTTCTCGTTAATTTTTTTAAAATAAAAGTACTTCTTCCTTTATTTTTCTATTTGATATTCATTTTTAAAAAAATAAAAAGCTAAAATACTATTTTTTTTTTAAGCCAATATTCTTTACTAATTTTAATGAAAAGCGCGCATAAGCTAATATAATTTTTTGAAATCCAATTTTGCACTTTAGTACCACTCTGTTCTTCCTCGTTGTCTTAAACAATAATTTTGACTTAGGTTTCCATTTTGGAACCTCGCGCTACAGCTACTTACCTAGTTA